GGCGGCTCTGGAAGCCCCACGTGCCACGGCTCACTGTGTACCAGGCACTGAGCTCAGCTCTGCCCACGCCTCAGCCAGCGCTCACCACAAGCAGGTGGGACAGGTGTGCTATTCACGGCAGTGACAGACTGGTGTCTGTCCCTTTCCACCTTAACATCACGGGCTCCACTCTCAAGGGTTTTGAGGAGAACAGCAAAGTCCGTACTTGGTCTTTGAATCTTCCAATCTCTTTGGGGACCTGGTACCCCTGCATCGCCACCGTGACGCTAACCAGCGCCCCCCCGTCCTGACTCTCAGCGCCCCCATGCGTCAGAGCACGGCTGCTCTGTGGGTTCGCAGAGGTTCACGTCTCAGCGGAAGATCTGCACCTGAACCCACTGCACGCCGTCCCCACCCTCCCAGCCGCACAGCCCCCCCCCCTTGGCCGAGAGAAGCCTTGGGAGCGGGGCGTCTGAGAACGACACAGGGCACCTTCCAGAAACCTGCATTTATTTTCACGAGCCTTGTTCTGGAGAAAAACACTCCGACCAACAGCAAGGACTCCAGCAAGGAGAGCGGGAGCCCCAGAACCAGGCCGGGCGGCCGGGCGCTGCTCCCAGGTTGCTGTCACCGCGTTCCGGTCAGACGAGACAGGGCAGAGCCGCCTCCCTCAAGGGAACCCAAATCGTCAACCACGTCACAGGTTGAGCGAACGTCAGCCCATGGCCAGGGCCAGCCGCTGAGACACAGCCGCCCACAAGCAGGTGGGTAAACTGCATCACTGCCTTACAGCCCCTACGAGTCCTCCCTGACCACACAGGAATGGGGTCCCTGTATCCTTGAAGCGTCACCAAGCCGACAGAGCTGCTTCCCCGGCCGCATCTGTCTGGAGACCAGCTAAGGTCGGCGTTCCCACCTGGAGGATCAAGGCTGTGGGCGGGCATCCTGGAAGCTGGTGGGATACCAGGTCCACAAGCCACACCCCATTGCCCTCTGGGATTGAGGAGTGAAGCCCAGAGCCTCAGAAATCCTAATACCCACTTCAGCGATGGCCAGTCCCACTACATGGCAATGAACGGAAACCAGAAACACCCCTGGTTCCTGGGCAGCAGCCAATGGCCAGGCCTTTCCAGGCGAGACCCTGAGGGTACCTTCTGGCCCCTGTGGGGGCTCTCTCACCTCTGCACAGAGACCACCCAGCAGGGCTCTCTGTGGGGGCCCCAGGGGCCAAGCAGCTCACGGCTGAGTAGGGCACCGGGGTTCCAGGTGGGGTCTGACGGGCCCAGCTCACCTGCCTCAAGGCCACAGGGGAGCTGTGTCCGGGGCTCCCACAGCTGTCCTTGCCCGACCTTGGGTTGGCCCTGGTCAGAGGACGCTTTGCTTGTGGTGGCAGTACTGGGGTGGCAGAAGTGCCCGATGCCACCCTGCGGTGGTGAGTCCACAGCCTGCCCAAGACACCAGCTCCCCAGACCCTCGGCCCGGCCCTACCCCTGACCCGCCACCGGGCAGAGATCTGGGCGGGCACACTCGGGCCAGCGGGGCTTGGAGCTGCGGCCGGCTCCCTTACCCAGGGCTGCCTCACGCCGGCGAGGAAAGCAGGCCTGAGCTGGGCCCTGGGAGGGAGGAAATGGGTCCCCTACAGGCGCCTGTTCCCTTGGGAAGGAAGGACCGTGGGGCGTGGCGCCCAGCAGGGGCGACAGGCTTCTGAGGAGGGTCACGCTGACTGCCCAGCCTGGGAGGGGCTTTGGGCAGGGGACCGAGGCTGGTGTCAGAAGCCCCTTCTGGCGTGACTGCTCCTGGAAGCAACCGAGCTCCGGGGAGTGCGTGTGCTAACGCAGACTCGCCAACTAAATCCCGAACGGGGGGCAGCCTGGTCCACGCTGGTGTCCGTGCCCAGGCACAGAGCGCGACCCCCATCCGTCACTCACTCTTTGGACATTTTTCCTTAAATGTGTGAAGCTCCAATTACCCAGAACACAGTCCAGCAGATGCGATAGAAGTTTCTTGCGATGCGCAGAGTTCTGATTATAAAAATTAAAAACAAATCCTAGTGCACAGGATTTTCTGAATCGCTCTTCCTAGTGAGCCATGATGGTCCCCAGGGACCACGCAGCCAAGCAGGGCCCTGCCCCAGGGCCCCCGAGTCCCGGCGTCAGGGTATGAGGGGACCCGGGGGCAGCTGGGGTGCAGAGGGGCGTTGAGGAAGCAAAGCGGTGGCCTCTTGCCAGCGTCTTCCAGAGCCCCCAGCACCGGACGCCGGCGTCGCAGCCAGAAAGTCCACGGGGCGCGTGGCGGCATTGCTACAGCTTTGGTTTCAGACTCCCGAGGACGGGCTTCTTGTCACAGAACTCCAGCCACCACGCGGCCCGCTCGAGCACCTTGTCCTCCTGGAGGATGGTGGCCCAGAGGTTCCGGTAGATCTGCGAGGGCAGACACGGGAGGGTGGGGCAAGGCCAAGGGGGAGGGCTCCTCAGACGGCGGGGAGGGCGGGGAGCCACCCTCCCCCAGAGGTTCTGCTAGAAACCAGGACGCTGCACTGTCGCCCAGCAGACAGACCTGCGGACTCAGGGTCAGACAGACCTGTGTTGCTGGTCGACAGTGGTTAGGGAAGCTGGACAGGAAACCGCCACAAACCACACTTTTGCTCCCAAGCAGCCCCTCACCTTCTTCCCGGGGAGTCACTGACCCAAACGAGTGTGTGGCCATCATGGGATTCTGGCCTCGTGCCAGCTGTCCAGCCAGCTATGCCCTGGAGCCCACATCTCAGGCTGGCACGGGTGGGGTGGGGCCAGGTGGCAGGGGGCCAGCGTGTCGGGCTATGGTCCCTGGCTGCCCAGCAGCGCACTGAACTGACCCCAACAGGGTGACGGGTGGGAATCCCTCCTGGGTGGGAGTCTGGGCTACCTCACAGAAACTCAGGGGGAGCGGGTCCTATCCTCTGGGGCAGTAGGGGGAGTCACATGGCTGGAAGGGCCCTGCCCCACACGCACCAGGCCACCGGCGTCCACTCCACCACTGCCTGCGGGGTCTGCATCCACCCGGGGTTTCCCATTTAAGGGTCCCGTCCTACACCGAGTCTCCCTCCAAAACTGCAGCCGGTGGCTCCCAGGATACAACTGGGCTCAGGCCTTTGTCCCCCAGGTCATGAACCTGAGATGACATCTCACACCCTGGGACAGCAGGCATCGTGTGACGGCTGGCACAGAGCACCACCACAGCTGTGCCACGACCGAAGGTCACCTTCATAAAACCCTAGTTCCTACAAGCCGGGGGGGGGG